GCCAAGGTCAGAAGCTCTGAAATTGTGATTCATCTCTTTCATTCTCCTGCTTCCTCTCTTTGACATTGTTATGAATCCTTGTGTGAGTTTGTATTACATTCAGAATGTTTCATGGAGCGACATTGTTGCTCCCTGCCAAAACATTTCAGCCACATTTCCATAACTCTACATTTGAATATCAATATATGAGTCTTTCCATTCTTTTCTAAGAAGCGCAGAGGCGAGCAGGAAAACTAGCAAGTCATCTTTAGAGCGGCCATTTTTCTGCCTGAGGGTAAAACTTTAACGCCGACTCTCTGCAGATAGATGAGAAACACATGCATTAATGTGTAGAACAGTTAGGTTTGATGAAACAAGCTTTTGTTCTCACACTGAGACGCATCATTTTCTACAAATTACAGTTTAATAAGAGGACGTTGGGAGCAGGGAAGTGACGCTGCTGCAGAAAACAACAGATATATTCACCAGGAGCAGCATCATGAGGTGAATCTACGTATCATCTCAACAACCGATGTTGAATTATTTGACCTCATGATGACTGAGTGCAGTCGTGCTCTGCTGAGGAATCTAATGCACAATTTAATGTTTTCGATGCATTTTTTTATTTCTTCTAGCTATTTGGAATAAGTAGGACCTGTTGAGTATGAAAGATAAGGATCGTCTTTGAACAGGAAGTAGTTTAATGACGGAAAATATGTGCTCACATCTGTAAAATGTTTGATTTGAAGGAATATTAAACACATTACATGTCTAAGTTACCAGAATTTAACAAATTACAGAACTTTAAAAATGTTGATTTCAATGCCAGTACGTGGCAAATAATACAACATCTGTCACTGTGGCGGAAAAAACTTGATGGTAACGGCCGAGTCAACCCCACTTGTCTTTGGCAGCACAGGAACAATAGTCTCTATGTGTTTTAATCCCTGTTGTAAATAGTGATGATTGTATTTTAATTGTATCTTCATACTGATATGGACAATGTGTCTGAAATAAAACTTATTCTGCTGACTGGAATTTGATGAACAGAAGTTAAAACCTGGAAGCAATCAGGTTTTCTGGATCGATATTTGCACAATGAGGTGAAACTGCATAAACTCGACTTTCCTCCTTCGGTAAACAGTTCTAGTTGATCAGTGTAAAAGTCACACGTGGGAACATCTCGGCTGTATCTTCCTCTGCAGGTTTAGGTTTCTGCTTATCAGCATTAACCTTATTTCCTCTAGAAATAGGAAAAAAGTAAATCCTCTGTGAGTTCGCTCCTGAAGGAAAAACTGAAGCGATTTCCTGCTTAATTTATCCTTTTTTTAGACTCTTGATGAAGCAGTGAGTTTATCCTTTACACAAACACATGCAAACACACCAACTCTCGATCTCTGACTTGTTTTCTATATTTACTCAAAGGTCAAATAGATTCATTTTAATTTACGCCACAAATTTCTCTCTGCCGTCATTAGCTTTTAAAAAAGAATGACGCACTTAAGACCAAATGTTAATGAATCGTAACTGAAGCAAAAGTTAGTGTGAGAGTCTAAAAATATGCAGAGGTCTCAGCGTGTCAGTGCAGAAGGCTGAGGCACTATAACTCAAACGGTTCCCATAATAGACAGGAAGTCATTCAGTCTGACTCGATACTTCAGATATGGGTTTAATTGCCCAGAATATGACGTGTTGGATCCGCTCACTTATCAAATGAACAGCTCAGAACAGACAGTAAAGTACTTAACACTTTTCAATAGGATGAGTCAAAGGTAGAAGCTGTTTATCTGTTCCAGGGGGGAGCGGGGGGGACATTTAAAACCCAGAAAAGCTGCTTCTTTAATTACTTAGAATGTGTTTTTCATGAATAAATAGTTCAACAGCCCTCTGTGCAAACACACACATACACATTAAATATAGCCTTTCACTGTTATTCTACATGTGTATTTGTTCTTTTCTTGTTTCATATTTACTATTCTTATGTCAGCATTGTGTATTTATTCTGTAAATAACCCTTTTATTTGCTGTTCTGTATATTTATCTCATTGTTCGGACTTTTATTTCTTATTCAACTACTTCATTTTTGCCGCTGCAGAGTTTCCCAACAGGTTTATCACACGATTATTCTTGAATTGTGAATTTCCAAGCGAAGCTGCTCAGGAAAATTAAACATCATCATCATCATGATGTTTAAACATGTTTGACTAAAGCTGGACTGAGGGAAAACCTTTCTGACAGAAGACGCATCTGTGCCTCTTTGTTTCTCTGGGTTAATACCATGATGTGTGCTGAACACAACATCCCAGAGTAAAGACACATCACGTGATAAAATATGTAAAACACAGCATATTAATTATGTTTCCGTATGTCCAGCTCAGTCAGGCTGAAACTGTTGAGGAGCGGATGAACCGAATGCAAACACTGTTGCACACACATTCCGAAGAGCACACACGCAGATGCACGCACCCGATTATTAAGCGAATGTGTACAACTTGTTCTGGTGTGATGTTTTATTCATGGTGGCGGAGGTAAAGCCACACGTGAGCCACCGTGTGTCTCCTGTGCAGGTCTGGCTCAGCCCAGATAACAGGGTCCCTGCCTGGAGGGGAGACACAACACCGCGGGACGTAATAGAAGCTATCATAATGCTCAGCAGGAGACATGTCCGCAAGCTCGCACTGTGGCAGAAACACCTCTCGACCCGGGGGCGTGAAGACACGTTGCTGTGTTGTGATTCAGCGACTTGAGGATCGAAAAGAAAGATGTGGAATGTTTGATTAAAATGTGTGATTACGACACAAACGGCTAAAATACAGGAGCTACTGTAAAAGCCTCAGTTTGATTGAATGAAGCAGATTTTTGTGCTTCGTTCTGCAGAAGAGAAACAAAACAGAGGAAGTAGTTGAACTGACTTTTAGAATTAAAGTCATAATCTGTTATTGATGCCTGATTCAGTTTAATTTCTCCCTTTTAGATTTGTATCAGACTGAATATAAAGATAAACAACATGACGGCTATTCGAGTGAAGCCAAAAAGTCTATATCGCCCCCTTGTGGCTGGCTGCATTATTGCTCATAAATCCTGCTTCCTCCATTTTAGCTGATTTGACCAAAGTACAAATAAAATGTCCTCAAATATGATTTCTGACATTTTCGGTATAGCTCTTCGAGTGTTTGAGTTATTTGATGCTATGACACATTATGATTGACAGCTGATTCTGACATGTGATTGGTCGAGCACATACATCGGTGGGACCTCTGCACTATGTCTCCGTCCCTCAAGATGTCAGAGTTTTGTAGAGTTTTATTTTGAAAAGCCAAACTGAATTAAATCATTTAGGTCCTATGGGCAATAACAATAGTTATCACAATATAAACTATAGCAATATAAGAAAAGTTCAACCAATTTCAACCCTAATTGGTTAATTGTTCTACCTTCCTTCACCCAGGAGAGAAAACGAGTCTCTAAACTTCAGAAATAATCATTTATCAATATAATTATGGATATTGATATTTGGATTTTTGGATTCATCACTCATTGAATGTAATCAGGGACAAAAAGGGAGAATACAGTGAATAACAGACTCACGCCAGTGCTTTGCTTTGTCTCTGTGCGACCGCAGATACAGTATGACCAAACCCCGACTCTTAAGAGACACTTTCACGATTGAGTTCCACGTATTGTTTCTAAATTGTCTTCCAACTTAAGAAACCTTTCAAACCCTCATTGTGGCTCTTCGTCTATACGTCTGCTCTATGGCCTGCGTACATCTCACAGGAGACAGGAGAATCGATGCATAGCAACAGCTTTTCAATACAGGATAAAACGTATCACCTCAACTGTGCTAATTAGTTTTCCTTTTAATAAAAATGTAAGTTTGTAGTTCTATTCCATCTCAGCGCATTAAACTGCTCTGATTCTGATCTTCCATGGCAGCTTGTTTAATGACACCAGGACTTTACAGCCTGTACTCAGACCTAATGGTCCAGACTCAAATATTTTATAGGCCGGAAGTATTACACTGACAAAAAGCTGTGTTCTGTTAAACAGGATACATATGGATCAGAATAAGGGGAAATAATGAGAGATGATGCACAAGCTAAACTTCACTTGAAGCCAATATTAACACCAGGTAACAGAGAAATGATTCAGTCAAGAAAAATATTTATATTGTGGATTTATGTATGTTTTGACTGTGGACTCAGCCTCAGCAATGTAGCAGTGATTCAAAAACAGAAGCTACACACAGCTGTATTATAGCTTATAAGACACAGAAAATGAAAACTACAGTGACTGGTTTCAAGCTACGCCTGCATGTTATCTATTTAGACATGTTTGCATATCCTGCAGTGCACCAATAATCTGAAGTTAAACCTGCTTCACGAAAGGATTAATTCCCTCCTAAATCCTTCCCGAGTCCCGTCAGTAGCTCGATAATCATGTCCTGCATTATCAGATTGAACTGATCCATGAGTATTTATGGAAGCAATGAGGAGGGCACTTAAATTGAGGAAGAAACTTTGCACATGCGTGACACAAACTGTGGTTATCATCCAGATTCTTTCCACCTACCTTGCTGCTGCAGTTCGAAGAAACACTTCACTGCAGCAGCAAAATAAATAGTTATTTCTGCCCGTGCACGTCGATATATGGATGGAGCCTGGATACTTCATCTGTAGGAGTCATTAAAGTCGTTAGAGTGCATCCTTCCGAGGGGACCTGAATGCAGCTACTTACATTCATTCCTCAGCTGCTCGGATTGTTGAACTCAACACACAAAGGGAACATTGTGAGCAAAAGACCTGTGTGGGATTTTCCAACCCTTGTTCTTGACCAACAGATTTTTGTATAGAGGGTTTTTAAGCACTGATCGATCACACGATCAGGTGATAAAGGAATCCTATAATCAGCAGCCTCACAAAATAACACGTCAGCCACAGGTGCATATTTCTGTCACCTCAGTCTTTATTGTAAAATACAGAAACGTGTCACTTTATCCACTCGTGTCATATCAAGCCTACCTGCAAAAGGGAAAATGTCTGTTCATCCTCGTGGACACATAAAAACAAAAACGCATTGAACTCCCCCAAGAATCAAAACTCCCCTCGTCCACCCAGCATCATCTAGTCATAAAAAAAACGACCACATCCAAAAATACTTGACACTGCCACCAGCAAAAGTATAAGGACAAAAAAATAAAGATAAGCACAAAAACAAACCTGTGAGCTCGGCTGCAAGAAAAGTATCAGGTTAAAACGTTTTAAAAAGGACTGGATTCTCCCACAGAGAAAAGTAAAATCAAGGGCTCGATCGGTGAGATGCACCGACACATCAAAATCTCACAAAATCACAAAACTGGAAGGCAACGAACAACACTGCAAAATGCAAACCAAAGCATAGCAACAGCAAAAGTCGACAGAAACAAAAATATATATATATAAAGAAAAAATAAAGAAAAAATAAAAATGTTTCAAAACCCACCAATAAATGTTGAAAAATCTCAATACTGACAAAACCTGCTTGGTTTCGACCCTCGAAACAAAACTGCAAGCAAGTAAAAGCCTCGTGAAGACCGATCAAGCCCCCGTGCACCCTCCTGGCACCGGATCAGAATAACATGCTAAAAACTTGAGAATCAAAAACGCTGAAAACCACCATGTCACTGCTCAATTCAAACACCAGCAAAAGGAGGAAAAATAAAAAAAAACGGGGAGGGCAATTAAAAAGACAAAAAAATGCTTACAAAAAAAAAGCCATTGGAAATGTACTCACCGAGCGGGGAGTAAAATGTGGCGATAAAAATGTGATATGGCTCAAAATAGAGAATGGCGGAGCGAGGCTGAGACGCTGTGGCTGTTTCTCTAGGTCTCTGCCTCCAGTTGTGTCATGTGACTGATTGAGCCGCGGCTTCCAGCAATAAGAGGCCGGTGAGGAGCAGCTGATGCGCGGTGAGTTCTCTCCTCACGGCTCGGCTCTCTCCACAAGTCAAAAAGACTGGTAGTTCCTGCTCGTCCCGCGGTTCTGACTGAGCTGCCTCTTTCTGTTCGTGGCTCTTTTTTTTTTTTTCTGTTTTAAAGATGCAGAGCTCAGTCGGTGTCAGCGTCACGAGAGCATCCACACATCCTGCTCCCCCGTTTCATTCCGTTCACTGGAGGAATGAGGAGGTCTGATAACACACGCGTGTTTCTGAGTTGAGAGGAGGAACCAGCGGATGGATGAGGAGGACGGAACGGGAGGAACCAGGGGATGGTAGAGAGCAGGAGGATTCGGGGGATAGACGAGGAGGAGAGAGCAGGAGGAGCTGGTCAATATCTGCTCTGTAAGAAAAAACAAAAAATAACCATCATCCCCCAGAGGAAGTGAGGAGGCGAAGCACGTGCAGGACCAACTGTCAGTCCTTAAAGATGAAGTGAGCTCTGTCCAGGGTGCTGAACATATAACATACATACTATTATATATGATGAGGTTCTGTCCATGGTGCTGAAAATATAACATACATACTATTATATATGATGAGGTTCTGTCCATGGTGCTGAAAATATATAATTAGTACTTAAAGGGATAGTTCACCTAAAAACGAAATGATCTACTCACCACTGTGCCGATGGAGGGGTGGGTCGAGTGTTTAGGTTCCAGGGGTAAACAGTGTTGCAGCCAAATCCAAAACAATTGAAGTAGCTCGTGATAAACGACAGAAGGAAACGCACACCTACATTCTGATCCTGTAGTTTTCAAATTCAACTGGAAAGGTTTCATTTACACCATGTTTTAGCCTAAATGTCCGCTACCGGACGTAGCGATGCTACCACACACCCAACGTGGACCCTTAGTCGAGAGCTTGTGTGCAGTGTACACAATGTGGGAGCTGTCATGTCGTCCATCTTTATTTACAATCTTTGGCGTCAGGCCTGTTCATGGATTTCAAACTGCAAGAAAACACAAAACGATTTATAACTAACAACCAAATAACAGAATGTTATGGTGTCTGGCTCTGTCCATGGTGCTTAAACTGGCTGGCTTTAACTCTGTACTCACTTCTCTTTTATTTAAATCACATTCTTTTCATTTATTTGTCCTCATTTCATGTCCCAGTTCCAGAATCTGTAGAGTTTCTTTTACCTCAGTTTGATTTCAAAGCACCAAAATGAGTTCCTGTAAAAAAACATCTCTCTCTCTCTCTTGTTAAATAAACACACCTGAGAAATGTGGGTTATTGCCGATTGTGCCAGACAGGAAAGTGATAATGTGTTATTGATGCATTAGCGTCTGACTTCAGTTGTCAGACAAAATTCAGTAGAAGTACATGCAGCACACAGCGCTGGAGACAACTGTCACCATTCATCCATCATAACTGTGGTTGGTGCACTGTTTCCACCTTAAGCACTGTCTAATTTAATTTACTTTCCAGATCACATCCAAGCCTTTGGGAGTCACAATGTAAAACGCTTTACAGTCTCTGAAGAATACACTGGGTGTCCAATAACGGCGATCAAACTTTGCCTGGAGCAAAATCTAGCAGCTTTATCACTGATTGTGTTTACCTCTTCTTTCACTTAGCCATCAGAGCCCGTTAAGCTGCTTTGGCAACAAATTGCACTGCACCGTTGTGTTCCCTCTTCTTTTTTATTTTTTATTTTACCTCATTTGGCGTGATATATGTCAATAGTGTCGTCACACGTCGGTCTTTGTGCCCGTAAACCCAACCTGACAGTCAGCGTGTTGTCGTGCAGGACATGTCAGAGCGTAATTATCGATGCCTGGGGGTGTTCGTGACCTAACTCACTGTCAGTGAGCTTATTCAGGATGCTGCAGAGCTCTGACTTCAGAATCAGATAGTAAAGAGATGGAGAGAGGTTCCAACACGTGGGCAGAGCAAAAGGTGACAAAGAAAATGACGCAATTAGGCCGGAACCAGCGTTAATCCACATAATCCAATCCCGTACTCTACTATAAACAATGACTAATGCATGATAACAAACTCATTTGGCTTCAATATCATCCCTTAACTTTTAACACACGCTGTGGAAGATTAACAGGTGAATAACGAATTTATGTCTCACTCCACATGTGGGTGAAAACAAGGGAGATGATACTGTCATTTATATGCTGGTTCACACTTCAGGCTTCAGGCCTGTGTGTGTGCATTCACATGCTCCTTGGAAGATCTCGATTGCTGGGTTGTCAGATTCTCTTCCAACCTGACCTCAGTGTATATTCTGTTACAAGTTTTACAAATTAAATAAGATATGAAGTTGAGCCCCATTGCCTGGTATAATATCCCAATCAGTGCAGCACAGTGGAGGAAGCACAGACCATCAGAGGCAGAATGCAAAACGTGTCAGCTCCTGGACGTTTCTACATATACACAAGTTTCCTTTTGAGATGCATTAATCGATATCTGTTGGTACATTATTTATTGGCTGTGTGTAACAAAAATAATGATCCTTATCGTGATTTATTTGAGAGATACAGCTACTTCTTGTGATGGCAGATGGACGAGCACGACCTCTATCAGTGAGACATTTCATGACATCCTCTGTGGAGGGATGGCGTCGTTGCAAAAAGAACATTCCACAAAATATTTTTTCATTTTTCTGCTTTTTGTGTGATATCTTGAGGTCATCACCCCGCACAGCTGAGACCCACTTCACTGCAGCAGTGAGGCACAGGACCCTATGGCAACACACACACACACACACATACACACACACACACACACACACACACACACACACAAACCTTTATAAATAAGGACTGAATTAATTTCACTTATTAAAGCAATGGCAGGATTTGTATTCTTTAATTAATATTTGTCAAGGAGTCTGCAGAAGTCATGCAGGATATTTTAATCAAAAATAAATGGAGTGTGCTCACGTAAGGGGATTTAACGCTCATTACAATAAATGGGTTACATTTACAGATCTATAGCTTGAGGTGGAAGGATTATATCTAATAAGTCAAAATAAGAATTATACTCGAGAAGCCTTTTTTTTTTTTCCAATTGCCTATGTTTGCTAATATCATCAGTGGAGTATGGGTTTAGTAAAGTCATTGCAGGGAAGGCTTTTTTCAGCATTATGCATAATTTAAATGTTGGAAATGTGTGTAGGGGGGGCGCTGGCTCGGTTAGAAAAATGTCCCTCAATTTTTCAGGGTTCAGACTCGACTGAATGGATGTCCCATGTGTTTCTGTGCACCTTCATTTTCCTTCCTCCCTTTGTCCCCGTCTATGGCTGCACTCCATCCAAGCTGACTGACACACAGAGGGCTACTGGGACCTCAGGCAGGTTTACTGACGTGAGCATCACTCACTCTGTTAATAATCGTCGTGCTGGAGGATCAGCTGCTGCTAAACATTTAAGTTGTTGTTCTTAAATGAATCTTAAAGCTATAATCATTAAATTAGTTTAAAATTACTGCAGCAAAACCAGAGGATACATCTTGATTACGTTCTTTCATGTCAAAAACCATTGCCTATATTACCCAAGATGCAACTCAGCCACCAGTTGGATATTTGGATGTTTTACACAGTAGTAGCAGCATATAGGTAGAAAAGGACAGTTTATTCATGACACCTGTGTCCCTGTGACCTTGATCTTTGACCTCTAACCACCTTTATCAAGTCTATTCATTTGTGAGTCTAACGGAACATTTGTGGCATTCGAGGCGTTCTTAAAATAACACATTCACAAGGCAAAGTGTGTTTTGTGAGGTCAGAGTGATCTTGACCTCGGATCTTGAAGCTCTCCTCAGGTCACCCTTGAGTCCAAGTGACACTATGGCTGTCTGATATGTCACGTTCACCAAAACACGAGATCAACATGACCTTGGACCTTTTAAATGAACTGACAGTTTTAACAGACCTCACGGTTTCACAACGCTGCTTCGCTTTCTCGGTTTTGTTTCTGGAAAAAACTGAGTGAACCTGTAGAAATTCAGTTCAACACAAAACAGGACGAGGCCTCTGATGAACCAGTCAAGTCTCTTTTCAGATCTAACACACAATGAGTTCTTGCTCAGCAATATAATATTTAATGGGATTGTGATTAGTATTCTGATACTACAAAGGACTTTGTCTACCAGCAGAGGAAGAGCAGCAAAGTGAAATTCGCTGCATTATTCTTCATGGGACGGCATGTTCCACTATCTGTTCTCTTCTGTCTAACCTTCAGCTGTGGCTTATGAGATTCACTGCACATAATCTCATGATAAAAGCATCTCATTATACCAGGATGTTCACATTATAACAAGATACTGAGGCTTTTTTTATTTATTTAGTGTGCTGCTGCACTGCAGAATGTTTCTGTTCATGTGTGGCCTTTGGTGTGCGATGAAATGGGTTCTGCATCGCAATAAAGCAGATGTGTGAGCGAGCACAAGGTTTAAATGAGATAAACTGTCTCTTTGACTTTCATTCGTGCGTCAGGAAATACTTTCATCAAAGTCACAAAGTGAGATAGATGTATCAGCGTTCCGAGATACGGAACGTAAGCTCCTGAGTCATGATCCAAAATCGTTTCCTTAAGTCAGGTAAACACAGTAAAGCTCTTTATGTGGAACTTGGAGGTGACAATATTATATCGGGCTGATTAGTTAACGTCTCAGGAGATATACATGTGTATTTTCAGTTTAAGTGTTGTATTATACTGTGGAAGTGCAAGATCATCTCCATGTGACATTCAGGAGGTCACGCTTCCTCCTACTGACTATTTCTAATTATCCAGTGTTCTTATGATGTGAACCTGAGTCTAAGATAAGAAACTGAAGTTACATGGAGAGAAAATAATTATCGCATAATGAGAAAGGTGAGTTTCTATATCAGAATTAATGTTTTGATAAATTCTGTTAACAGATCTTGGGGAGATGCTTTTGATTTGAATCCCTTTTATATAAATTATTATATAAATATTGTTAAAAACAGGGAACTCCATATCCCATGTCAAAGTTAATTTACTGTCGACGGAACGAGCGTGATACAGTTTGGAAAATGTCGTCAAGCGATCTCCCGAGAGATGCTGAAGAATCAAAGTTTGAAAATGTGAAAATGAAAGTCTGGGGCTGTGAAGTCAGAAGGAAGTGATCGTACCAGACCTCTTTGATCTTCTTAAGGCTTGGTGCTGAAATATACATCAGCTGATACCAGAAACTTTCTGTGGTCGAGTTGCATTGTGGATAAAACAAAGAAAAATGTGC